GAGCAGGAGTTGAATTCACCAGAAGTAGAAAATTCATCAACACATGCTCATCATCGTACAAATTGAAAAGATTTCAGATTCAAATGAGTCACTTAGAGAGGACGTCAATGAGAGGAAGCGCTTGAATTCCATGGAACTGTGTGTATATGTTGTAAACAACCCAACAAAAAGTATTTTCGCTTGCAGAGAACTCCAATAACGCAAATGAGAAATAGCGAAAGGATAAATAGCAAACATACAAAATATGCTCTTGAATGTCAAAAACATGAAATACTTCAGTCACAATTCAATGAGTTCGACCTAAAACGGAGTGAAATAAAAGTTGAGACGTTTGCAAAATGAACATACAGCAAGAAGAACTGGCATATTTGCTTCTCGAATACTATCCGATTCAACATGTCTTTTAAGACGACCCGCATCCTTAACGCAAGACACGAATTCCATTGCTCTACAACATTGATTCATTATGCTCACAGTTTTCCATCAATGAAAATTCTTTACTGTTTTCGTCACAGTAAAGTGTGGTATGGGCAACATTTGCATACAATTATTTTTTGAAATGGGTGAACATGGCTACGAAATGTTGGCTCTGTACTTCGCTCCATCGCAAGCAAAAAAAATCAGGTGAACAAATAAGTGCACATTTCTTCGTTGTTCATTTAGTATTGTCTCATAAGAGCTTGACAACAACTGATCAACCAAAAAATACCACCTCTGTGATCAGTATTCTGTTTCTTCGAAAGATACGTTTCTACTCCAGCAATGTGTGACGACGATTCGATAGTATTTGTCAAACTCAAAGTCCAACAAGAGTTTCAAGATGGCGAAAAATAATTGAAAATTATCGGAAAATAACTTGCAAAATCGCCTGCCACTGACCTCACCATCCAATTCCAAAAATATTCTAATGCGATCAAAAACTGTCGACCAAGTTTATGCAATATCATCAGCACTAATGGTATGCCAATCACCGCATAAAGCATTGCAGCCAGTTGACCTAATCGGCTCTTTGCTGTTATATTACCATAACCAATTGTCGTATATGTTGTCACTATAATATGTCGTCACTTTCATCGGATCTTGCTCACGAATGATAACTTCAGCAAATGATGAAGATAACTATCCTTTAGAGCTTTTAGAATCAGAACGAAAGAACAACCTTGATGAA